ACTCTTCAAAATAGACCATGAATCTGATATTAAATATCAGCTCCTCTACTATTTATCTGATATATGTCATCCACACTTATAAGCTGTTGTAATGCATCAGATTCCTAATTAATTGGCCTCACTGCACCTCTTCTGTCTTCTACAGTTTGTTCCAGAATCTGGTGGTGGTTGCTAGGTGCTGCCAAGTAGAGGACAACTCATAGCGACCCTGGGAACAACGGATCTGAACTCCGTCACATCTTGTGTCAGCCTCACTATCTGACACACCAGAGCCCATTGCTGCAGTCTGGGTCGATCCATCTGGTGGAGGGTCTTCCTTTCCTTTGCTGTCCTTCTATCTTTCCAAGTATGATGTCCCTCTTCAAGGAACAACCTCTTCTAGCAAAATGCCTAAAATATGTGAGATGAAGCTTTATCATCTTTGCCTGCAAGGAACACTCTCCAAGACATATCTGTTTGTTTTTTGACAGTCCATGGGATATTTGGGCATGGTGCAAGGAGGGACTGGTCCTTGGAGAGGGACATCATGTTTGGCAGAGTGGAGGGGCGGCGAAGGAGAGGAAGACCTTCGATGAGATGGATCGATTCTGTGACTGGAGTGGTGGGAATAAGTGTGTTTGAGACGGCGAGGTTGGCACAGGATAGAACAGCGTTTGGAGCTCTTGTACATAGGGTCGCTATGAGTCGCAAACGACTCGATGGCACAGAACAACTCCAACACCACAGTTCAAAAAACATGTTATTCTTCTGAAAAATCTTTATTCATTGTCCAACTCTCGAATGTATAGCAAATGATCAGGAAGACCATGGCCTGAAATCAGTGACACCTTGTCCTCAAACTGATGTCATCGTTCCTTAGTAATTTGGAGAGGTCCTTGACTGAAGACTTTCCCAGTGCAATATGTCTCCTGATCTCCTGACTGCTACTACTAAGGGTGTTGACTGTGGATCCAAGTAAGATAAAATCGCTGGCAGTTTCAATCTTTTTTCCATCTGTCACGATGTTGCTTATCAGTCCAATTGTGAGAATTTTTGTTTTCTTGACACTGAGATGCAATCTGTATTGAAGGTTGTACTCTTTGATCTTCTGCAGCAAGCACTTCAAGTCCTCTTCACTTTCAGCAAGGCAGGTTGTGTCGTCTGCTTGATGTACATTGTTTATGAGTCTTCTTTTGATCCTGATGCCACATTCTTCTTCATAGAGTCCAACGTCTTGAATCATTTACTTAGCATATAGATTGAATAGGTTTGGAGAAAGCATACAGTCTTGACTCAAACCTTTCTTAATTTTAAACCATGTAGTGTTCCTTTGTGGTTTGTACAACAGCCTCTTTGTCTAGGTATAAGTTTCACATCAGCATAGTCAAGTGTTCTGAGATTATCATTCTTCTCAATGCTAGACATAATTTGTTATGATCCACACAGTAAAATACCTTTGTATAGTCAATAATGCGTATACAGATATTCTTCTGGTATTCTTTGCTTTCATCCAGAACCATCTGACATCAGCAGTGATATACCTGGTACCATGGCCTCTTTTAAATCCAGCTGAGTTTGGTAACAAAATGGTAACATTATTGAAAGGACCTTTTGGCCATGGGGTCTGGGCCACTCCTGGGGTGAACCTCAGAGTCTTGAATGGAGCATTCTGTGCTTCTCTCAAATATAGCTCTATGCAATTGTGCCTGGTTTTAGAAGGTGTATAAATCAAGTCTATGCTCTGGAGACAGTTGCCTTTAAGGGTCCAATTTCTTGTCTCAGTGTCGTGCTCAATTCCCTGTCAGGTCCCAAGTTTCTGTTTGGAATGAGAGATACTGCAATCCTAACCTTTGGAAGGCATGGAACCTGGGGGATTTTTCCTCTTAAGATTTCTGTTTGTAGTTCCAGGAACAGATGAGCATGGACTCCACTAGGAATTAGGTAGCAGCAAAGTATGGTGGTCGAGGGATAGAAAACGGCTACAATAATCACAGATGCCACCACGTGTTCCCAGTTACCTGGGTCCTATTCATTGGCATCGCCTCCTTAGCACAGGAGACCCTGAAGGAATCACTGATGATGGTGTCGTGATTGTGGGATCGCTCTCCTCTCTCCCTTTGTCCCAGTGAACAAAGCACTGCTACCTGCCTGTACTCAGAACAAGCTAAATGAGCCCATTCAAAGGACTGAGTCTTCTTTGGGGCATACGTCTCCCCGTCTTCTGACTGGAAGGTATGCCTAGGAGAAAGGAGTCTAAGAAACTGTACCACTTAGGGAAGGACCCAGCTCTGCCCCAGCATGAATCCCAAACCAAACCAAAGGCTCGCTCCTCACCCATCTTACCTCAGGAAGCTTTTTCTCGAAGCACAGAAAAAGCCTTGAAAGGGCAATGGTGGAGCCCAGACTGGTGGCAAGGTAGTTTTTGGTTGAAGAAGACTAAGGATGAAATGACCCCCTTGTCTCCTAGCATGTGGAAGCTCTGTTTAGTGAAGAGAGACTCTCGCCAGCTAGCCTAAGTAAGCAGCAGAGATTATTGTGAGAATTTAAGGAAATGAGCATTAGAAGTGGGTAGGGTTGTGTGGGGGCTTGGTTTCATTCAGATGTCTTCTCTGTCTTTCTGTGTATGCCTCTGTCTCTTTCACATTTAAGGTGATGTTTCGGTGTCTGCCATTCATTCTCTCTCCCCCTCCAACCCTTCCTCTCTCTTCCTCACGTACGTTCTTGATTTCTCTGCCTCTGTCATGCTCTCTATCGAGCTCCCTTTCTCCCTCTTTTCTTCTCTCCCTGTCTGCCTCCTCCTTTCTCTGATTGTAGTTTCCCATCTGTTTTTTTTCTCTGAGCATCTTCTTTACTATTATCTGACTAGCATCCATGTAAGGATCTTAGTTTCTGCTCCTCCTAGCAACAGTTCGGGCCTGGTTTTCAGTTGCCATGGTACCATTTAGCCTCCAAAGCTGTATTAACATCCAGCTTCATTGTCACATCTCTGCCCCACGATTCCAAGAATCAACCCCAAATTCCAGTAAGGAGGATCTTGTTACCTTTTTCCGGCCCAGTCAGCTATGTCACATGTTGTCTGGGCTACAGCGTCTAGGCTGTGAGCTGGGTAAGCCTCTCAAAATGAAATGTGGCCAGTGAACAAAGCTGAATCAGGTGACTAGCACTCTCATGGTCTACAACTGCAGATAGACTCCTTGATAGCAGACTCAAAACTCATGGTCATCACGTTATTACAGCTTATCGAGACCCTCTATTGGGCTTCTGAGACCTTATGTTTTTAGTGGGAGAGAGTAGTCATCTTGCTCTTGCAGATTCCAACTGCTTGAGAAGCTCAGCCTTTCTGCTAGCACCACAACCTGCTCTACACTAGGCCTCCCTGGATGTCAAACACGGGGTCTTTCCAAAGGTGATTTTGGAATCAGATGAGCCTGAATTTGAGTCTTACCCTGACAACTAAGGACTTTATTTAATGGATTTGAACCTTAACTGCTTCATCTGTAAACTAATATTTGTCTCGTAGCATTGTTGTTGGTTTAAAGGGGATAATGTAAAAGTGCATCATGTAGACAGTCAATAAATTGTAGGACTAAAACCTCCCCCCCCCAAAAAAAAAATCAGTGATCTGTCTATCAGAGGATCTCAAAGAGCTCTGTTGATCCAAAGGCTGATCGAGCTCAGAACCAAATGTCCTCTGATAGATGTGGGAGAAGTTAAGGTTGTGGTAGTCTAGAATTCCTAGCTAAGAGTCCCATAATTGCCACATGCACTGATATCCGTGCTCTGCAGGAAGGCTGATATGGGGTTCGTCTCCTGGATTTATACCCTGGCTCTTGGGTATTTATAGCTGGCTGTGGAAGTTGGAGCTCATCCTGGTTGCCACTGACCCTCAACTCAGAGTGACCTCGTGTGTGCACTGACTTGTAATTACTGACTTTTAGGAAGTAGATTGTCAGGTCTTCTGAAGCTCCTCTTGGTGGACTTGAACCTCTAAGTTAGCCATCAAGAGGGAATGAGTAAATTTAGGTAATCATTTGTACTATTAGAAGCTCATGCTAGAGTTCTTCAGTCTCCATTCTCCTTATCTGTACAGAGGAGACAATTGAACATTGAAGCCCTTTTCTCAAAGAAGTCATAGAGATGCCCCAATGTAAACAGTTCACCATAGTAATTGAAACTTAACTTTGAATGAATTGGTAAGTGTTGCTAAAGTCTTGGAAATGTAGAAAGAAACACAGGTGAAGGACGTTTAACTTTACATGGGACTCAGGTTGGTGAAGAACCAGCAGTGAATGTGGGGTAAAAGCCACAAAGCCTAGGGGTCTTCTGCTTCCCTTCTAGTGACTGTACCCCAGTTGAGTGGTCTTGACTGCCTCTCTCACCCACATAAGGATAGGCCCCTTCTTTGTCAGGAGCTATTAACTGAAGAGAGAAGTTGACAGGCACTGGGTGAGCTTTCACAGCAGAACTTTTTCATTTTATTTATTGTCTGTAAACTCATATTTGGTAAACAAGAAGACAAGAAACCAAAAGAGAGGAGGAGCACAAAGAAGGCAAGGAAAGGGCCAGTGCCCTCCACTGACAGGAGCTCTGAGATGACAGCCACACCATTAGCAAAGTGGTCGCTGAAACTGGGAAGTCCGGGGTGAGTGGTGGTCTAGGGGGAGGGCTGAGGGGAGTACAAGGGAAGGGTTCACTCTGTTGGACAAAGAAGCCTAAATAATACAGCGAATGAGCTCATGCATCACAGCGAAGAAGGCAGGGAACCTCTACTCGAGCCCCACGCCCTCCCATGCAGTTGGTGATCCAGGCTGCAGTCTGAGCAGTATCTGCCAGGTTCAGGTTAAAGGGCCTCAGAGGAAGCCCGCCAAGTGGCCCGTCCTCCATCTCTCCTTCCCGGCTCTGCTGGCTGGTGTGTGCAGGTTGCAGGGGCGGGCAGGGCACTTACGATTTCTGGTGTGAATACAGTGTCAGGGCAGCAGGGGCGGGGTCTGAGGGAGGGGAGAAGCAACCCCTGTCCCCCTTTACACAGGGGGCTCACTGCAGAGCACAATCTCCAGGTCCTTTCGGTAGAGCTTCCCTGCCTCTGCCAAGGACATGACGCTCTTCCTGTAGTTGGTGAGCTGTTGGATGTTCATTTCCTAGGAGACACAGGGAGAGGTGAGCCGCTTGGTGGACGGCCCCAGCAGTGCATTCACACACGTGCTTGAGTCGGTCTCTCTTCCCATCTTGTTTAGTGGTACAAGGCATGGGCCTTGGAATCAGACACCTGCATTAAACCTGCTAACCGCATTGCAAAGTCGTTGCTCTTTCTGAGACTCAGAAGCCTAACCTGTAAAATGGACACACAAATAGCACCTACCTCCTCAAGGTGTTAAAAGGAGTAGATGAGGGAATGAATGAAACAGCACTCAATACCTAACACGCAACAAGCACTTAAAAAATGGTCGCTTCTGTCAAGATAGCATACTGTGTGTCAATTTTTCTGCCTCATTTGGTCACAATCTAGTGAAAGCCAATTTGGGCCCCTGCTGGTGATGATGAAGACCACGGAGGCTCCCTGGTCTTGTCTCCAGGCTCATACGCCTCATCTGTTTAAATAAGGAATTCTAAACCCTGCTGCCTCTGGCAGCACAGCTCACCAGGCTGCTTCTGCTGCCTGTCTTCCTGAGGCCCATCAGAGGGAGGATTAGATGCTCTCACATGACCTGGGAGTAGGATGCCTGTGTCTCCATTTACAATGGATGCAATATTAAAACGCCATCAACATCCAATATGCCTTATGTTAAGTATATGCTTTATAGTAATTGCTTTGAATGCACATAGTAAGTCCTAAATAGAGCAAAGTCATCATCACCAGGAAATTATTTCAATAACTATGTCCACCTCCTTTCTTTCATATTTTTAATTCTTTCAGCCTCCTTCTCTTTCTGTATTGAAAATGGATAGATCATAAACACAGTGTCTAAGGGGTCAGTTTTAAAAACATTTCTTCTTCCACGGCGAGGAGTCATTATCCTCATTCTAATACTTTTAAAAACAGGAGGTATAAAGAGGTCTGTTCACTGAAGGAGTGGTCCAACTCACAGCCATAAACATCTCTAGTTGTCCAAGTAGTGAAGTATGTCTAATCACCTGCCTGGTTTGCCTGTCCCTAGTGATCTCTTTTTCTGTGTGTAAAGATTCATTCCCCCCCCCCCGCCCCCGTGCTATGAAACATTGTCTCATACTACACTTACTTCTCACCATCTCATAATCCAACAGTTTACATTTATGACTATACAAAACCACTTACTCTCAGACTGTCTTATGCGTTTATGACAGGCAGTAATGAATGCTGAGGTATGAGGCAGGAGTAACGCTAGCTGTGATGGTTAAGGTTATATGTCCACTTGACTGATCCATGACTCTCTGGGTTTGCAGTTATGCAATGCTGTAGCTGTCCTTTCTTTTTCTTTTTTTATTATTAATTTTAATGAAACTTTACAGAGACTTTGCCTTTCCATTCATTCATTGTTGCACTTTTCTCCCTACCCAATCTGCCCCTGTCCCTTTATTTCTTGATACGATGTAGTCATTCTCCCTATTGTGATTGGATGTACTCTTCCATTTTTGCATGACATCAATTTTCATACACATCTGGTCTTTGGAATCTAGCCATGTAAATAAATGAGGGATGAGTGTCCTAACTTCTAGCTTTGTGCCACCAGCCAGTGTAAGGACATTTTGTAAACATTCTTTGGGAGTATCGTCCATAAAGTCATGAACTAACACTAACGTGGGCCTGAGCTTTCTGCAAGTCATTTAGCACAGTTTTTTTCCCAGTTTCGCCCGAACCTGTTAGGATTCAAGAAAGGGACCCCAGGTATCAACGTGAAGCTTGTGAAAATTACCCACAGTATAGTCAGGCAGCGAGAGGTTTAGCAACTTGGAGATAGGGGGCTGCTTGCTTTCTCTGAATGTTTTCCTTGAAGCTAGGGAAAGCCTTAGGGATTTGCAGTTGCCATAGGAGTGCTAAGAAATAGTGAAAGCCTGGCTTTGCAGGGGCACCAAACATTAATCTGCTGCAAAAATCTTCTCACAGTCCATGCAGACACCATACAAATGGAATGTGCATCTCTCTTTGCATTAATCGCCAATGGCCTTTCCATTCTCAATACAGGCGTTTGTTCACAGACATGCAACTTTCTCCTGATCCATCACCTCAATTCCCAGGTGCCAGATTTAGAACCTGGGTCAAGTAGGGGCCTCCCAGGTAAACAAGCTTTATTAAATCCTGTTCGCGAACCTTCATAATTGCTTCTGGATTCCAGGATCAGAACCATCACTTTTATTTACATATATGAAGCCAACCTTTGCAGCTCTAGGAGCTGTCCTTTGTGTTAAATAAGGATGAGCTTAGTTAGTTGGTGACCATGTATTTCAGGTCACTCCAGAGATTATTAAGTACACTCCTTCAGGAATTATTGGCCTCAGGTGGAAGCAGGGTCATAAAAAGACAAATTATGCCTCCTTAATGCAATTATAGTTAAAGACGTTCTTTATTATGGTGCCTGATCTTCCTTGGACGTATAAGAATACATGAATAACTTTCTCCTAGAATTATGTACACAGAAAAATTTTGCCAAGTTCAAACACTGCAGCAACTACTTCCTTCTTCCCAGGAAGTGTTTATTTACTAATAGTTTATTTTCTGTCCCTTTCAGAAAATCAATTTTAGTAGCATGAAGAAAAAAGAAATTTAGGATAAAATAAATGAAGGATGATACTTAGGATAAAGACATGAGAAAGCTCTTGGAAAAGGAGACAGATAGACCTGGAGGCTGCGATGAATTTATTTCTGAAATTGAGCATTAAATTTAGCTCTTGCCTGGCATACAAGGCAATTAGGCAATGCAAGGAATTACAGAGCTTTCATGGTCTAATTAAAGAAGCAGACAGAACCATTTGCTGACACATTCTCCAGAGTCAAAGAAGTTGGCAGCAAAGCCTTGTTTCATGGTTCCTGTCCCACCTCTTCCCCTCCCATGAGTGCACCCAGATGAGCCTGGTGAGGGTCTGCTGGGGGATCAGAGGCAATATGAGAGGCAAAGTGATGAAGTTCGGCACTCCACCTGTTCCTGAGGGGAACAAACATCCATGGTTCCTCTTAGCCATTCTCTAACTCCACATTCTGCCGTTAACCAGTTTAGAATAGCCCTTTCCTCTCACTGGCCTCCAGCTCTACAAAATTCCCTTCTTGTACAGAAAGTCTTTTCTGTTGTCACTTTAGCTGCTGATTCCATGAAATAGCCCTTGTCAAAGCTGATCAGAGTGGGGAGCCCACAGCAGCACCAGCACTCTCCTCTCCACTTCCTCCCTTCAAGCCTGGAGTGTCACCCAGACCCTGAGGCCAAGTTGCTCACCTTCTTGTTTTTCTCATACAGGTCCTTCAGAAGGGCATCCAGTTCATTCTCATCAATGTAGCCACTCCCATCCTAGTCACAAGGAATATGGAGAATGAGCACAGAGCTCTGAGACTCAGACCCAGCGACCCTGACACTGCTTCTTGATAGAATCTGCCCATCCCAGGAGAGTCCAGATAGCCAGCCTCCCTTTTACTAGATAAAAAAGGTGCTATCAGACTGTGCAGTGTCAGATTAACACACTAGTCGGCAAAAGCGCAGGACAAGGAGTCTTCTGGTAGCCTCTAGTTCCAGTGTCTTTCACTTGTATTGAAAATGCAAATGAGATCTAAGAAGTATTCTGCTAACTCCTTGAATGCCAGATCAGAAGTAAGATATTACAGAGAGCATGGCACGTGAAAGTCCTCCTCCAGACCTTGGGTGGTAAAGAACCACAGGAATGGGCAAGAGAAGGGTGAAAGGGTAGGCAATGGGGTCAGCTTACTTCTGACTTCCTAGAAAAAGAACTTGCGCTGGTGCCAAAGTGCGACCAGAGGAGCAGTGGCATTGAACGTCTCCTTCTGTCCCAAACAATGAATGTGATCACACTCGGGCTCTAAGCATAATTCTCTTCTTCTACCAACTTTTGCTGCATTTTTCAGAAACCCAAATCATGAATGACGTTTCTCTTCTTACATAGACCTAGGTACTTCGGGGCCTTCCTGGAGGAAGGAATCAGGTAAGCTGGAGCTGCCCATCTAACCTCCTTAATGAAGAAGCTGACCCTTTCTCTCTGGGGGCTCCCTTGTCCTGCAGCCTTCAGAATTTTCAGTCTGCAGTGTCCTCTCTATTACCTTGTCGTAATATGTGAAGATTGCGTTGAACTCCTCTGAGGTCAGCTTCATGCCCTGTAAGGACCACGATAGGGAAGAGAGAAGGAAAAGACACTGAGTGGGTCTGTTGTGATGATGCCGGAGGGAGGGAAGAGGGAGAAGAAAGCAAAGGGATATTTTACCTGGAATTTAAGCAGGAAGTTTTCCTGAACAGGCAGGAGTCTGAAAAGGAAACCACAGAATAGATATAAGGGGGCAGAGAGCAGGCCAGGGTAGCTCAGACCTGGAGGGGTGCAGAGATAGCCTCTGAAGTTATACAAAGTGAGCACTTAATAATCAGGAGTTCACAGAAAGTTGAAAAAAGAGAAAGAAAAAGGCAAATTGAGCTATTGAAGTCCACAATTCCATCTGACTTTGTCTTGAGGTTCTGGACAACTGATCGGTCCCTCCTCCCAGCCAATGACCTCAGAGCTAGAGACAGGAACACAAGAATGACAGCAGGAATCTTGTTAAGAGATAATCTAGGGGTTTGTGGAAATGTGCTTACCGAGACATCTCAGAGAGACCCAGTTTGCCATCCCCATTCAAGTCAAACATCCTTAGCTGTTGGGGACAGAGAGAGATGTCTGGATTATTTGCTTTGATCTTGCAGTGAAGGCTCTTAGGGGGAGGAGAGGAAGGAGGGCAGAGGTTGGGGGGATCTTTTGTGGTCTCTTCAGGTCATCTGGGGACCAGGGACAATTGTAGTCTTAAGTGCCTGCTTGGAGAGGTAGTTGGACTTGGTTACTGCAACTCTCCCCAGTTCCCAGGGAGAGGAGGAACAGAGGCCAGCACCAAAGGTTCAGCCTCTCCAAGGTTATCTTTCTGGAGTTAGAGGTTGTAATGGAAACATGCTCCATAATTTCAGCTCAGTGGAGATCTCAGGGAGAGGAGGTATGGGGCCATCACTGAGCTCTTTGCTCGGTGCTACCATGGGGCACCTGCCCCCAGTCCACTCACTATGGTCTGGGTGTACTCATGGAGCTTGGGTTCATCATATGGCCGGTTTGCCTTCTTCAGGAGGTCTGACAGAAATCCCTGGAACACAAAAGACGGCTTTCATTTACTCATTCACTTATTTTCTGAGCCTTGCTGCCAATATAGAGCATGATTTTCTAAGCCCCTGGCCTTTATGTCATGACCTTGAAGCCCCAGAGGTGGCTCTGGGTTCAACTTCACCTACTGGAGAGGCAGTAGGGACCAGTTCTGCCTATTCAGAAGGGCAAAACATGGGGTTAGGGCTAAGCAGTGTCTGAGGATTAATGATTGGCTAGAGAAATTTGAGGGGAGAAGTACAAGCTTGAAGGCTAGCAACCTACAATTAGCTGGACATGCCTTAAGCATGCCTGTCCTCTGGACTGACGTGCCAGAGTGTGGTTGGGGTGAACTCTATGGCCCTAAAGCTCTGTGTCACTGATTTCATATGGCTTCCCTGAAGACGTTCACTTTAGAGCCAGGCATGCGTGTTCCTCAGGAGACCACAAACCTCTGTTTCTCATCTGCCTACTCTTAACTCCTCAAGTTCCTTAAAATCTGCCACTATGACTCCCCATTTCTTATGCGTTCCTTAAAATCTGCCACTATGACTCTCCATTTTCCATGCCTTCTGTGCAGACTACAAACCTTTATTTTCTCACCCAACTTCTTTCTCTTCTCCAGATTCCTTAAACCCACTGTCACTCAAGATTCCTTCCATTTTCCAAGCCCTCCACACCCCCCCAAGGCTCATCCTACCTTGAGCTCATTGGCTTCAATGTAGCCACTTCTGTCTGTGTCATACTTCCTCCAAGCCTGCAATGGAAAAGCCAGTCATTTTGCAAAGACATATTAAAATCTATACATCCTACATCTCATGTTGTTCTGGGGCAGGCCTTGATTTTCCAGAATTAGAGAGGTTGGGAAATGTAGAGATGACCTAATGCTTTAATGTAACAGATAAAGATTAAGTCTTGGTTAAGGTCACATAGAGAAGGAGAAAGACTGCTGAGACTCGGATCAAGGCCCTCTCTTGCTTTAATTTAATCCAGGTCTGGGTCTCATTTGGATCAACTTGTAATCAGAGGTGAAGTTTTCAAAGGTGTTAACCAGTTTCTACCAAGGCTAGGATGAGGATCTTGTGGGTTTTTCCCCCTGTGAGTAAATGAAGGTATCTTTTCATTGTTCTGGGAGCTTGTTACTCCAGACGAGGCAAGAGGAGGAACCCTCTGGAAATGGAAGGAATGGGCTTTGGTTACTCTTCACTGTCCTCCCCAGTGCATCCCATTGCATATGGCAGCCACATATGGTGCTGAGGCAGAATTGATAGTGTTATAAGGTTTTTAGATGCCCCAAAGCCACTCCTCTACCTTTAGAATAATAATAATAGCAAAAAAAAACCCACCCCAAATTCTAAGCTCCCACTCTCCATCTAATGGTCTCAAGGCAGAGCTGAGCCATCTCGAGAGACAGACCAATCAGATGTCTTCCTGGACCCCACCCATACTGGTTCTAGGCGCTAATCAGAGTCCTGGTTACTAGATGCATACGTGTCATCTCTGAGGAGCCAGGGCACAGTCTGCTGACTGTAACATCAGGAAGCTCAAATAGAAGTCAAGTTTCAGCAGATGATACGTTTCTTACTGCCTCCTTCCTATCTTTCCTCTATATCTGAGTCAGAACAGACATTACACAGGAGAAACAAGGAAAAATACGCTTTATCCAGTACTCCTGTCAAAAGTGTCTAATGTAATTTGCCTTTCTTTGAATGAGGGCTGAGTGTAATGAATCATTTCTAATGAATGGCAAATGTCACTGTGTGACTTGTGAGTTGAAGTCATACATGGCATTGCAGCTTCCTTCACGTTTTCCATGGATCACCTACTGTGGAGAAACCCAACAGCCACGTTGGAAGAATGTTCACACAGCCTATGGAGAGGATTATGGGTGAGCAACTGGGCTTTTCTGCCAACACCTGTGTGATTGAGTCATCTTGGGAGTAGAGCTTCCAGCCCAGTCAAGCCTTCAGATGACTGCAGCTCATCTAAGCTGATCCTAAACTGCTGATTCACGGAAACGATGGAAAATGAGTGTGCACTGTCCTCAGCTGCTAGACTTGCATGCATTTATACATTAATGAAAGGATCTTAGTGCAGAGGCACTGTCCTCTATTTAACAACTTGGAAATATAAGCTTTTTTTCACCCAGAAGGCCCAGGGAACCTCATTCCCCCAATCTTTGGTCTATTTTAGTGTTGGGTCTTATTTATTACAAGAGTAATTGTCTCCCCACTGTATCCATGTTTTATCGTCAGGGATTTGAGAGCTCATGGCCATTTTAGGATCTTGATTCCACACACGTGAACTAGACTGCAGAATGCTCTTGGTAGGGCAGCGTCAAAACCCACTGCATTAAGTCTGTTTTGATTTATGGCGACCACATCAGGTTTCTGAGGTTGTGAATCTGGAGACTGCCCATCTTTCTCCTGAGAAGCAGCTGGTGGATTCAAACTACCAACCTTTCAGTTAGCAGTGTAACACATAGTGCACCTCACCTCTAAGGTTCCTTAGAGAAGTGTCAAGGCCCAGACTTTTTTAGTTATGAAACAAGAGAAAGTTCCAGCAAAAGGGAAAGCAAACTCCAAATATAGCTAGTATTGGATTAGAGGAGTATCTTTTCCTCAGTGAAAATAAAAATGTCTTGGGTTCCATCACAATACTCCTTTCCTGGCCCAGAAAGCACAACCTTGGAAAGGTACCAGGAGTTGAGAGAGAGAGAGATGTGCAGGTCTCTAAATCTACCTTCACTAACCACCTGCGTGAACCTAGTGCATTAGGATTTTATTCAGCAAAGCTGAGGCTTGGTTTGACAAGAAGACAAGACCCCCTAAGTTGCCTAAAAGCAGGAGGATAAAGTGGATCCCAGTCCAGTGGCTGCCTCTCAGAGGAGACTGCGCCCCACCCCTGAACCCACCCCATTCCTCCTGCGTGCTGGCTCCTGCCCTGGAGAGCTCTACACCTCCAGCACTTTGTGCTCAGCCCCCACTGGGTCATTATTCTCTCCACATTCAAGGAAAAGGGTTCAGGAGGCTGGGCTTTTTGAAATCCCAAGGCAATCCTGAGGCCTCCCTAAAATTAGAAATTAAGATGTTGGACTGAGCAGTGGGGTGGGAGAAATCTGAGAGCACAGGGCTTTGGGGGCTACTGAGGGACCGTTTCATCTTTTCTGCTGATACAAAGAGGACACATGGACTGTAGGAGGGATGGCACTGCAGGGGCGTTTGGTCCCGGGGAACTTGGAGGGGAGGAGTCTTTGGCTCTGTAGATAACACTGAAAAAGGTCAGGCACATATGAATAAGGAACCATGTCAGCCGCACACAGAACACCTGCGAATGTTGAGAGAGGAGAGTAGATAAAGGAGGGACAGAGGAGAAGGGAGGGAGGACCTGGGAGGAGGGAGGAAGAAGAAGGGACAGTCTAAAGATTGATGCTGGTAGGGAGAGGAAGGAAGGAAGAAGGGAGGGAGGAGAGAAGGGTCAACTTAGTGTGTGATTGAGATGAGGAGGGGAGGGAAGGGAACTGAGGGGGAAAGGAGAACCAGGGGAGAGGGAAAAAAAGTGTGGGGGCAGAGAGACGGAGAGGGCTGTCCTTTGCTTCTCTTTAAGCATTTTGCCCCTATGGGCTCTGGTCACCCCTACTTTCCAGCCCAGCTATGGAGCAGATGTCAGCCTTTGGCTGCCACCCTGTCAGGAAAGAAGAGGTCAGACATGGCCAGAGAAGCAGGCACCATAGATAGCACCCTGATAAATGGTAATTATCTGCAGGATCTACCTCCACCCCCAACCGACTCCCACCCCAGGGAGAGAAGAGAAGAACCACAGTGAGATTCAGAATATCAATTACCAACTTATGGCGTCTTTCCACCCTGTGAAAAACTGGAGAAAATCCTTTAAAGCACCATAAAATGAAATCCATATCTGATGCTCAGCTGCCATTTGAGAAACGGGCCCTTCCTGTCCTGAGAAATGGTTCTTTCCAAAGGACTTTGTGTCAATGAGGGAGCACTCACTGCCCGATGGGTTTCTAGGCTGGCTCTTCAGTCGCTTTAGGCAGTGAGTCACGGAGAAGGGATTACCGGTAGCTGAGAAGGGATTTAACAAGAAGGAATGGCAATATCGGTGGGTCATTATTTACATGGGGCCATATGTGTGATGATGGGTTGGGTTGAGTTTCACTCTGAAGGACTCTCTTTTTTTCTCTCAGCTCTCCTCCCTCTCTCCTCTCTCTTCTTTCTCCTCCCTCTCTCTGAATAGCCAAGTTGAAGAGCCCAGAAAAACAGCAAGAAATAATTGGTAGTTTGCTTAACATCAAGATTGACTTACTTTGAGCCATATAAAATTGCCATGAGTCCAAAATGATTGAACAAAAGTGATTCCATATAGTTCTATCTAGTACTGATTTAAGTACGACATGGTGAAGAAATATTACTCAAAAGACACTTGAATTTGGATATCATATTTCATTCACATAAGCATCTTGGAGAATGTGTTTTGCAAAGTTGGTCATGCTCATTGTAAAGGGAACACTGAAGCCCGAACTACTTTCAAAGATCAAGCCTGGAAGGTACTGGGAACTGAGAGGCTCATGGGTCATTTGTTGTTTCTATGTGGCGTTGAGTAGAGTGTAACTTGTAGGGACCCTGTGGACAACAGAGCTGATCCTTGCCCTACCCTGCACCATCCTCTCATTTCCCAACATGCCTGAGCCTGTTACAGTCACTGCTGTAGTCACTGTTACAGCCTGTTAGAGTCACTGTGCCACTCTGTCTTGTTGAGAGTTTTCCTCTCTTTCTCTGACATTCCATCATTTCTAGGGAATAGCATTCTGTCTTTTCCCAAGGACTAGCCCCTCCTGACAACACACCGAAAGCATGTGAGATGACGTTTCACCACCCTTGCCTCTAAGGAGCGCTCTGGTTGTATTTCTTCCAAGATAAGCTTGTTTGTTCTGTTTGTCATAGGACGGTACGTTTTTCCGTCTTTGTTATGTGGTCAAGGAGAAGGAGGTGGGTATTGGTAGAATTCTTGTTCCATCTGGGAACTCTTTGAGGAGCAGACAGTTTAGACATGTTATCGGGAAAGAGATGTCCCTGAAGAAGGATATCATGCTTGGTAAAGCAGATGGTCAGTGAAAAAGATGTGAGGATGTCACAGGACCAGGCTGTGTTTTGTTCTTGTTGGGACCAACTCAGTGGTACCTAACAACAGTGTTATTGAAGAGTCTCAAGGTGGTGCATTTGAGTAATACAATAGGCTAGTTAATATATTTGGCTGTTAACTGAAAGGTCTTCCCAAAGGTGTCTTGGAAGAAAGTCCTGGTGATCAACTACTAAACCCCCTGCCACTGAACACTCTATAGAGCCCAGTCTCACTCCTATACACATGGCTATTCAACTGACTGAATAGCAACTGGTAATCTACACTTTGGAAGGAAGCATGGCAGTTACTGGAGCCAAACCAAGTGAAACAGATTTCTTTACTGCAGGATTTCAGAGGCTGGAACATACAAGTGTCTACAAAAAAATCTCCCAAAGAGAGAGGGTGTGTGTAGACACTCCACGTGCATGGGCCTCAAGCTTCCTCCTCACTTTCCTCCCTACACTTTAATGTGTACACCAGTCCCTGGGCTCTTGCTGAAATGCAGGTTCTGAATACTGGCTGGGAATTCTGTATTCCTAACAAGCTCCCAGCAGATGCTGATGCTACTGGTCCACGGTCCAGCCATGGACCACATGTGAGGAGCTGAATTCTGAGGGTCAGTGTCTCCCAGAGACCATTGTTAGTCATTAGGGTGAGGCTGGCTGCGACATGGGCGGAAGGTAGGTCCCACATGCAGAGAGAGGGCTGTGCCTTGGCCTCACCTCCATGAACTCGGCGCTGGAGCCCACGTGCTGCCTGAAGCACAGAAGGAAGTTCTCCTCGGTCGGCAGGATCTGCGCCAGCTGTGGGGACAGAGACACTTGTATTACCTTCCAGGGAGCAGTGGAGTGTCCTGTAGGAAGGATGGCAACAGGACAGGGAGACAGCGTGGGAATCCCATTTTCTTTGTCATGTGTGTCACATGTATGTAGACAGATGCCCATGCCTCATTTTATTGCACTTTGTAGATATTTTTTAAATTTTATTTTATTTCATTATTTTTTGCCTGTACCGTCAAATCATATCTGACTGGTACAGAAGGATATTGTTCCTCCTTCTCCAGCAGAGCATCTGGTGGATTCGAACCATGCACCTCTGAGATTGCAGTGCAGTTTCTTGCCACTAGGCCACCAGAGCTTGCCTGTAGATATTTTTTAATTTTAGTTGTGTGTGTGTGTGTGTGTGTGTGTGTGTGTGTGTGTGTGTTTTAACCAATTGAAAGATTCTGGCATCCAGTGTCAAGCACTTCTGTGGGAGGACCATTTTCCCAGTAACATGTCCCACTCCATGTTTCTCTGTTATGTTTTGGTCATTCTCACAGCATTTCAGGCTTTTTCATGGTGGCATTGCATATATATGGGCTCCAGTAGAGTGTAGATGTAACTTACATGCACTAAGAAAAAAATTAATATTGGGGTGACATGGAACCAAACTGCAAGGCACGCCTGTGTGATATATGTGTGCATGTTCTTAAAAGGACTCATGGCACCTTTAGAGTACCTGTTGCATCCTGAAGACATTTTCACTCTCCAGCTGTTCTAAGAGATTATCATTTGCTTCCTTGCCCCTTTGAGGTGGTGGTGGGGTACCCTTGAGTTGGAACCGAATCAGAACTGGTTCTTCAAAGGCTTTCAATCACATGGGAGGAGATTGCCTATTTTTCTCCCACAGATCAGCTGGTGGATTCAGACTGCACACCTTAGAGTTGACAGTGCAACTTCTTACCACTATACCACCAACCTCCCACCAGAGCTTCCTGGGGAAAGTAAATTTCATTTTCCACGTGATATACAGGAAAAGACCCCCCCTTGCTTCAATGCTAGTAGACAGGAGGAAAGAGCAGTTTTTTAAGAACCTCTCTATTTCCCCTCCTCAACCCTTGGGTAACTACTAATCTGTTGTTTAAATTTTTGATTGATTTACCAATCCTAGAAATTTCAATAAACGGAGTCATATTGGTTTTGACCTTTAGTGTCTGTCTTATTTCACTTAGCATAATATTAATTCATGTGGTGGCATGTACCAGAACTTGATGTATCTTTTAGATGCTTAACTTTCTGTTTGTAAGGATATAGCATTTTTTTAATCCATCCATCTCGAGAGACACTTGTATTATTTCTTTGGCTATTGTGAATAATCTTGCAGTGAATGTTGGTGTACGTGGGCTAGTTTGAGCTGCTGTTTTCTATTCTTCTGGGTATATATTTAGGAAAGAGCATTTTAAGCCCTTCTTGGACCCTCTGGAAGGATGCCTGGGGTCTGCGAGAGGCACAGGAGTGGAGGAGCCCTTCGTACAGAGCTCTTGACCAGGACAGCCGGACTTACCTCTGCCATCTCGATTTTCCCATCTGAGTTCTTGTCATACTTCTGCATGAACTCCTTCATCTTCTCCCCAAAGTTGTCACTCTTTGACACCTGCAACAGGACAAAGGGTGCATATTTTACATCTGGATCCCCGTGAGTCATGGGTCTCACACCCCATCCCTGTGATGATGGCAGGGAGAATTTTGTGTCCTGAGTCCGTGGCCATGGAGCCAGACTGAGCTGAAGCTCATCTTGTTTCCATCCGAGACCACATCAAATCCCAGCCATCACTTCTTCAAGACTAAGCACATAATTTTCAAAGGGGGACAGGTGTAGAGGCAGAGTGTTTACCAGGCATTGAACCTGCTCCGCTGCCTTTGAAATGGATTAACCCACCTCTCAATCAGAAGGCTGGGCACTTAACACCCATTTCTCAGATGTGAGAATGTCACTATCGCAAGGTGAATTTGCTCCTCTTTAAAGAAGAAATTGCCATTACACAATATTTTTTTCACCCAGATTTTATGCCAGAGAAAATAAGAGTAATTCAGTTAGTCTTTTTTTAGTTATTATTGCAATTAATGAAAAGATAATAAACTTGAAAAGTACTTTTGGTTCATTGTTGACCTATCTTGAATCTAAGACTTCCCCCCCAATTTCTTTAAATTCTTTTTTTTTAATTACACTGGTTTACCAAAAAAGTTTGCATACATTGCCCCTCATACAGGCTCCCCCCTCTTTCCCACTTCCTCGTCCACCCATCAAACCATGCAACCCCATGATTATCTCCCCTTCCTCGTCCCCCCCCCTCCGCCCATCTTGAATCTAAGACTCTTGAAGTTTAAAACCTTCTCTTGGCTTGGGATTCTGCTGATTTTCATCAACAAACTCTTGTTTATCCTGAAGCAAAGATTCATCCATTGTTGACAGCTCATCACTTACCTGGTGACCCTTGAATGTGTGCTTATTCAGAGGCCATGCTTAGTCTTTTCTGCATCCATTCTATGCTTTATTGGAATTGGTCTCACTTTTGTTAGTGATTATATATCAGTATTTATTGAGTTCCAGTTCCTTAGTGCTCACAGTGGACCTAGGCATTTATCACCAATGTAGTCATCCTGTTTAATTTGAGATAGCCTCATGAAGTTATGGTCCCTTCACTGTACACACAAATGGAGACTAAAATGAAATGATCTTTTTCTAGGGTCACACAGATAGTTGAGCCAGGATTTGAACTCATGACTCGAAATTCCAAGTCTGACAAGCTTTCTGCCATATAACAGCTGCTCTGGGCATCAGTCCTAGCTGGTATTAGTTGGGATTTTCATTGATGAACTTGGAAAATAACCCCTGATGCTGCTGTCCCACGAAAGAGATGACTAAGAGAAGGGTTTTAGATTTGAAGCACTTCATGAAAACAAATTCTTGTGACTACTGATGTGATCCCAGGACCAATTTTGAAGCCTCTGTTTCTGAGATCCAGGCTTCATTATCTTGGTAATGAGGGAGTGTGAGGGGGCTGTTGATAAACACACCCATGAATCCCTTCAAAGTCCCTTAAGCCGCAGCTCCGACCTGTCTCTTGGTGAGCCATGCCTCTGAGCGTGAACCAGTGACTCACCCCTTCATTTGAGACTCATCTCCCAAACTATTAATAAGCATGAGATTGATGGACAGACACACAGCAGGGAAGAAGAGAGACCTCTAAAGGCCCCACAGGAGCTGATGGGCTGGACTGAGTCTAACTCCACATATTCCAGTATTAGGCAGGGGAGTTTCAGACCAGCTCCAATCACCTTCATTTTCCAGCATTTCAAATGCCTCCCAAAAAAGATTGTAGCAAATTTTACAGTATAAAGCTTGGTATTGGGGTAAATGCCTTCACTGCCATTAAGGGGCTGGGCTGTGTAAAGAAGAGTGATCAGAACAGCATGCCCCTCCACAGATGAGGCCAGCCAGGGCCATCAGATTCAGCCTGCTGCGCAGGTGAAGCCAGCCAGTGCCATCTGGTGCAGACACTGGCTCAGAACAACCCTGTCTCCCTTTGGGTTCTTACTGAGAATGCCCATCCTTGCTGGTCTAGAACATCATCCTCAACTAGGCATTCCCTTGGCATTTCCTGCCTGCCAGGGACATTGGCAGTGTCTGGAAACATGCTGGATTGTCACAACTTGGGTGTGTGTAACCTGTTGTCACCTAGTATGTAAAGGCCATGGTTGCTTCCAAACAGCACAAAAGATTCTCTACCCTAAACACCAATCATGCTGAGGCTGAGAAACCAGCTCAGGCCCTTGGCCTTGAGATGGGACCCTCTGAACATCTTAGGCAGGCCGTGGCCTCTTTCCTAGGACAACCCTCAATATTCATACATGCATACACATACATAAAGTTTTACACTATGTTTATGAGCATCCCCTGACGCCCATTCTTGAATATCGCCAATCCCAGGAACCTAAGATATTGAAGTAAGATACTCTTTTTAGAGACTGTTCTATTCTTTTCAAAATCCCTGTGAATCAAAGGGAAACTCCAGGTGTCCAGGACACTGATGTCAGGTCCACAGATGTGACACATATCTTGGGATAGATGGTGCCCAAAGACACAGGTCAGGGGAAGAGACAACTGTCAGCAGTGGGGAGGTGGGCTTACCATGCCAGAGCCTTTTCGTGCCTTCTCCAGCTCTTGGAAAAAGTTTTCTAGTTCTTTGCCTTCAATATACCCATTTCCTGCAAAGATAACAAAGGTGGGGGAGAAACATGAACCTCAGAGGTAATAGAGAAGGCTGATGTGGGTGAGATGAGAGGAGAGCTGGGACTGGAACAGGAGTGTCGTTCTCTGCAGTAGCATGTGGCAAGGGCAGCTCTGGACTTTGTAGTGCTAGGGATGTGGCTCCTGCTCGTGGGAGCCTGTAACCTTCCAAATCCAAGAAAACTAGTGGTGTTCTTGGAGTGTCCCCTGAGAGTCAGGATCCAGGTAGTCATCACCATCCAGGAGACACTGGCAGGCACTGAGCAGGTGGGTCTGACCCTCACCATCCAGGAAAGCAGTAAGTCTGACAGGAGACAGTAAGGCATCAGCATGGATGGAGTTTCAGCTGCAGGTGGCAAGGCCCTTTCCCAGGTGACTGCAGTCAGGGACAGAACGTGGTCCCAAGGTGGAAAGGGAAGAATGAGAAAAGAAAAGCAAGGCCTCTGTCCTACGGGGTGGGGACAGGGGTACCATGGAGACTCAGTCGTGGGTATCAGGTGACGGAAGGCAACTCCAGTGCAGGTTCCAAGCCTGGTTCCTCTGCACTCATCAGCTGTGTAACTAGAGGCCCAACTCCTGGCTGTTGTTTCTGATTCCTACCAACCCTGTAGAAGGAAAGGGAACTGCCCCATAGTGTTTCCTAGGCTGTAACCGATACAGGAACAGACTGCTACAGCCTCTTCCCATGGAGCACTTGGTAGGTTTGAACCTTCACCCTTTCAGTTAGCAGTCATGCGCTTAATGCCTGCCAGCATGGATCCTGACTCTGGGCAAGTTACTGAGCCCATCTGAGCCTCTTGTGTCCTCACTGGAAAATGCAGGGATACATATAGAAAGTAGTGGAGGTTCAGTGGTAGAATTCTTGCCTTCTGTGTGGGAGACCTGGGTTCGATTTTCAGCTGATGCGCCTCCTGTGCAGCCTTCACCAGCCTGTCTGTGGAGGCTTGAGGCATGCTGATACGGTGCTGAGCAGGTGTCAGCAGAGCTTACAGGCTAAGACTATGCAGAAAGGGCACCTCTCTAGCAGTTCAAATCTACCAGTTGCTCCTCTGGAGAAAGATAGCCAGTCTCCTCCATGTGTAAAAAACATCTCTGAAAACCTACGGGATGGTCATTTAAGAGTCAGTTCTGACTCAGAGGCAATGAGTTTGAGTTGAGTGACCCGGCTGGTCAGAGAACTGCCTATAGAATTTCCAAGGCTATAAATTTTTACAAGAACAAACTGCTTCATCTTTTTCTTGTAAAGTTCAAATCACCAACGCTTCTGGGTGTCCGTCGGTTTACCCGCTGCAACATCATGGCTCTTTTCTCTTGTACTAAAGAAACACTAAATAGGGGAGCTCTGGTGGCCTAGTGGCAAGGAACTGCAAATACAATCCCAGAGGCGCACGGTTCGAATCCACCACATGCTCTGCCGGGGAAGGAGGGACAATCTCCTCCTGTACCAGTCAGATCTGATTTGACGGTACACACACACAAAAATAAATAAATAAAAAGAAACACTAAATAAAAACATAGCCACCCTTTCCAACTTATCCACAAATCCAACTTAAAAACAGATTTAGGAACAAATCTCGTTCTTAACCTGGGACTGACAATCAATACTAAGAGCTCAAGCCTCAAGACTGGATGACCTAGAGGCCAGGGCTGAGCTGAGTCCTCGTCCAGGGGTCACTGGTCTTGACTGCAGTGGTGATGAGGCATCTGTGGGAAGGGTAACCAGGTAGGGCTTACATCAGTGCTTCTAAGTCATGGATGCACTTTGGACCTTCCTGGAGATCTTTAATACATTTGGTTCCCCCTCCCAGATATTCTGACTTTGTTAGTCTGAGGTACAGCCTAACCATCATGATTCATGATCACAGGTGATTTCAGTTGTGGCAAAATTTGGAAAGCATTATCTTGAAGTCAAATTCCAAATCTGGTCCAAAGAAGTTGAAAAAAGAATGATAATAGTGGCAGCTCTGTTTAGGCGAATTCACCATGACCACTGGTTAGGGGAGAGTCTCTTTTCTTCTTAGTCTTCTCTGAGAATTTAAATTCTGGTTAGAATACCAGCACACAAGGGACTAGCCACTGCAGCACCTTTAGAAGTTAAATTCTGAACAAATTCTGGACAAATAGCCTTGGAGGGGAGCCCTCTAGTGGTGAAGACTCCAGTATATGGAGAAAAATCACATGATAAGAAATTAAATATTTCTGTATGACTGCTCTGTTCACACAACAGCCTCTTAGTCTAAGTATAGGTTTTGCATAAGCACAATGAAGTGTTCTGGGATTCCCGTTCTTCTCAATACTAGCCATAATTTGTTACAACTCAATAGACAAATGCCTTTGCATATTCAATGAAGCACAAATAGACACTCTTCTTGTATTCTTTGCTTTCAGCTAAGATCCATCTGACATTAGTAATGATATCCCTGGTGTGATGGCCTCTTCTAAGTCCAACTTGAACTTCTGGCCGTTCTCTATGTACTGTTTTAGCCATTAGTTTGTTGTTGGGTTTTTGGCTTGCTTTTTTATGGAGAGAAGTATGTGTGAGGGTTATATCCTCTCTCTGTATCTATTCAATCTGTATCCCAAGGAAATTATTTGAGAAGCTGGACTCTGTGAAGAAGAAGGTGGCATCAGTATTGAAGAAAGACTCATCGATAACCTGCATTATGCAGAGGATACAAACTTGCTTACTGAAAGTGCGGAGGACTTACTTGAAGAACTTGTTGCAGAAGATCGAAGAATGCAGCCTTCAATATGGATTGCATCTCAATGTCACGAAAACAAAAACTCTTACCACTGGATTGATAGGCACCGTCATCATAGATGGAGAAAGGATTAAACTGTCAGCAACTTTATCTTACTTGGGTTCACAGTCTATACCCTTGGTAGCAGCAGTCAAGAGAGCACGAGACATATTGCACAGGGAAAGTCTGTAGTCAGGGACCTCTCCAAATTACTGAGGAGCAGTGATGTCAGTTCAATCACCAAGGTGCACCTGATTCAGGCCATGGTCTTTTCAGTCACTTGCTATGCATCTGAGAGGTGGACAGTAACTAAGGATGACAGAAAAAGAATTGAAGCCTTCGAACTGTGGTGTTGGAGAAGAGTGCTGAAATACCCCAATATCTATTTGAAAGAACAAACAGATATATATATTGGAGAAGGTGCAGCCAGAGTGGTCCTTGGAGGAAAAGATGATAAAGCTTTGTGTCACGTACTTTTGGGCAGGTTTCTAGGAGAGGCTATTCCTTGGAGGGGGACATCCGTGCTTGGAAAGGTGGAAGGTTATTGAAAGAGAGGAAGACCCTCAACCAGATGCATTGACACAGCGACTGCAGTAATGGGCGTGATTGTGTCAGAGATGAATGATGCACAAGATAGGATAAGTTAAATACATTGTTCATCGGGTTATTATAAGTTTACTTGACTCGATGGCATCTAACAACAGCAACATCTGTCAGAAAAATATGTAATTGTAACATTATAAGGAGGTGGAGGTCGGGGAGTCCCAAATAGTGTTAATGCTGGCTAACACTCAATTGTTAACCAAAAGTTGGCCGTTTGAGCCAGCTAGAGGCTCACTGGGTGAATGGAAGAAAAGTCCTGGTGACTTACTTGCAAAAAATGCACCTCTGAACTCCCCCTTTAGCACAGTTTTACTCTTGTTTGCATGGTCACCGCAAGACAAACTGTGCTCATAGATGGGTTTACTGGTGAGTGAGGTCAGACTTGTGCGCCTCTCATTCCTGGGGTGGGGTGGCTGTATTTCTTCTGAAATGTCCTTTAAGGTGCTTGAGAGAGTGGGCATTCCATAAGTGGGTCCCCAGAATTAGGCAAGAAAGAGGAGGAGGAGGAGAGAGGAAGGAAGGGAGGGAAGGCTTTCAAGGTAAGAAGGTAGTTGTCTAGTTAATGCTGCCTTTAATTTGGAAGAAAGAACTTCTCTCTCTCTGGTCACTGTCTGGTGGAGCAGTGTTTAAGCACTTGGCTGCTATACCAAAAGCTGGTTGTTCAAGCCCCTCAGTCACTCTGTGGAAGAAAGGCAGGGCCTGCTGTTTGCAGAAGATTTACAGCTTCGGATGCCCCATGGGTGGGTCAGCTTTGGCCTGGAGGGTCCGAGGAGTTGGAATCGACTACGTGGCAGTGATTCGGGTTTGGGCTCCCATGCCATGATCTGACTGTTCCCCCATATCTTCAGTGGAAATTGCTCTTGACTTGAAGGCAAAGTCACCTTGGCCTACATGGTGGCATTGCCGGGTCAGGATAGGAGTTCAGCTCGGGGCCGTTTTAGGAGGTGGGAGGCTTGGAGCTGACATTGTGGTTCAGTGAGGTCGGGATCGCAGAGCGTGGGCACGGGGACACCTGAGGTGAGTGAGTGTATGAGTGTGAGCAAAGCAGGAGGCAGCTGGAAGGCCCTCAGAGAATCTCGCTGGACTGCCTACCTGCCAAAAAGCCTAGCCACACAGCCCTGAATAAGTAGCTTGCCCTCCAGTCTTTTGGATCCTTCCTTGTACCAGACCCTGCTGCTTTGCCTTCTCTTCGGCAGCCCCTTCACCTCCCATTGAGAGGCTGACAGAGTTAAGAGCTGCCATCTGTCTTACCAGCCTCAGTCACACACACTGTGGGCCGTGAACCGATCACACTGCCTCTCTGGACCTCAGTTTTCCCATCTGTAAAATGAAGAGGATAGCACTTTCTTCATAGATCTCAAACGTCGGCACACAGGGAGTTCTTCCAGCAGCGTGGCCGTCACCACCATGAACACACGGTTCCCATCTGCTGCCCAAACCAAGGACACCGTGACCCTCAGTTCCTCCTTTCGGCTGGAAAGATATGGGAGGGCAGGGGGAGGGCAGCGGGAGGGCAGATCAGGTGGCCTGACTGGCAAGAGGAAAAGCAGAGGAGTGCAGACACAGGAGCGACTTCTCCCATGGGATTTTCTGACACAAAGAAGAAGTACATTTCTTTTTATTCTACCTTGTTT